TTTTCTAGATCCGCCCCTGCTTTTGCCTAATATGTATTTTTTTTGGTTTGACCCAGTACGATTAAATCTTAATCGATTTATAATCCCCTCCTTTCTTCATTATTTTATTTCATTCCAACCCTTGGGATTTATATATTTATATATACTTTTCATCCTGTTTCTCTGCATCCGGTCTATTCTGCCATTACTGTATATCACAGTTAATTAGTCAAACAGTAACCTCACTCATGCTGTTGCAGTGCTAGCTACTGCCACAAACAACTAATCAGCCAACTGGGTCTTATGGCAAAATCTGTACAAGTACTTCCTGATTAAAATTAGGTTGTTCCTTATTTGGTTATTTAAGTTATGTTTAATGAATACACAAATAATTCAGAGTAATTTAAAGAATTAAGACAAACTTATTGGAAAAACAAGAAGATTTTACACCAACTTAACACATTTGAGTTAGACGGGTTACTAGTTAGTCATTTAAGGCAGCGGTCCCCAACCACCGGGCCGCGGACCAGTACAGGTCCGTGTGTCATTTGATACCGGGCCGCACAGAAAAAACAAAAAAACAAAACAAAAATTATATATATATATATATATATATTTATCGACGATCAGAGTCTGAGTGATGTTTTATTTTGAAAAATATAAAAAATTGCGGTATTCTCTCCCAGTTACATCAGTAGGTGCATCTGTGCCTCTTGACACAGGTTAATTCAGTTCAAGACTCATCCTATCTATAACGTCCTATCTTTGTGAAGCAGGATTTTCTGCGGTTACAGCGACCAAAACAAAGCCACGGAGCACATTGGACATCAGGAGCACACTTAGTCTGTCATTGTCTCCGATTACACCACGATGGGACCGGCTTATTGTTTTATTTTTATGCTGTTTGTATTTGATTTTATGCCAGTCGTATCATTTTACTTGATCGTATTTACCCCCCCGCCCGGCCGGTCAGCGCAGTGGTGGGGTTGGGTAAATACGATCAAGTAAAAAACGGTCCGACGCCGCACCCCCCACCCCCGGTCCGTGAAAATATTGTCTGACATGTAGCGGTCCTTGGTGCAAAAAAGGTTGGGGACCGCTGATTTAAGGTACTCCGTTAAATCAATACATTTTAAAAATGTAGGTTTACAGTTTAATTATATGTATTTTAGCTGAAAGTAGATGTTGACATACACCCTTCATCCAATCTGATATGAATGGGTAAGTTGTTCAAAGCTGGTAGGGACATGCTACATAACACTTTACATTTTCTAAAGTATCAGTTTGATTGGACTAAATAGAAATAGTCACTTTTTAAATAAAACACAACTTATTAATCCTGTTAAAAATCTACTGTTGACTTGTTTTTTTATATGCTTTGAAGTTAGGGAAAATATTGACCTTTTTTGTGGTTATTTTAATGACATTCTGTTGTAAAAAAAATAATTTAAAAATTCTCTAAACAAATTCTTAAGCTACTAGGACTGGTATTTGTTAGTTTAATATTTTCAAAGACAACTGTTTATTCATTTTTAGTTACTATTAAGGGCCTTTGTAGAGGGTCCAAAGAGCCACTTAAACTCAGAAGCTGTAGTTACAGAGAATTCAATTCAATTCAATTTTAAATCAGTTTATATTTATAGTGCCAATTCCCAACACATGTCATCTCAAGGCACTTTACAGAGACAATTCAACCAGATCATAGAATCAAACTGATTCAATGTTTTCTATCCATGGAAAACCAGTTGATTGTATCAACTCATTGACTCAAATGCCATCCCTTACCCCAAGCATGCTTGTAGCGACAGTGGAGAGGAAAAACTCCTTTTTAACAGGAAGAAACCTCCAGCAGAACCAGGCTCAGTGTGAGCTGCCATCTGTTGAGGCTGACTGGGGTTCAAGGAGACAGAAGCAGAGATACAGAAAGAAGCAGAGATACAAAAGGCAACTTTCAGCCAGCTCCACAAGAGGCCCCGTCCAGTTTCCTCCTGTCCTAGACAAAATTTACCAGGGGGGTGTGGCCAAGGTTTTAATGGAGGCACATATCAAAGGAATAACAAAAAACAAACAAACAAACAAACAAAAAAATTTTATTTTATTTTTGTTACATTTTTTAAGACGTTTCGTATCCAATGAACTTTTTGGAATGACTATGACCTGCATAACTGAGAATCTTCATCAACAACAAACAGAACGCATAATTTAGCATATTACCGAGCAACAAAACAAAGGTTCCAGATGATCTAGCAGATAAAACTGAGATGCTATCATAGGATGACACACAGTCATTTCTGAATAATTGTTAAATTAAATGTATTTTGGAGGATTTTCATAAGTTTTTTTTAGGAGAGCCACCCTCTCTACTTTAAAAAAATGCGCCTGTGAGAGCGTGCCTGGGCCCATTTCTCCTTGTGCACACTCTGGTATCATGTAGGTTTATCCTCTTAAAACCTAGACCGTAGACCTTAAAGCTGAAGTCTGTAAGTTTTTAAAAATAACTTTTTTGTCATATTGGCTAAAACTGTCCCTATGCCCAGACAGCAGTACATGTGATATGTAACCTGTGAAAAAAACTGCTTCAATTGGTACCGCCTACTGCCTGTATTTCAATCCAAGGGCGTAGGTTTGATTTGAACTTTGGTAGGGACACTATTGGTCAGGTGTCATTGGTGCTATGCAATATGTGTGCCCTTTTTTATGCTCGATGTGAGCATCCGTACTGATAAGAGGAATTCATTGTTAAAAGAGAAAAGCAACATTTTGCTCCATTAATAAAAATGTTATAAGCTCTACACTCATTAGATGCTGTTTATCAATGTTTGAAGTATCACCGGCTCTGAAGAATGTGGAATTAGGACTGTTTTCCACTTTGAAAACTGTTTCATTTGAACGACTAAGAGAGAAGCTAAATACAGTATTTTCTTTTGAAGATATAGAATTATGCAGAGTTAAAACCCACTCTAATATTTGTACCTACTTTTCTCTCTCTGTATCAAGCAAAATAATACATTCATTAAAATATTAACTTCACTATAAAAGTTGAACATCTAGGCTGTAGTTACTCTGTGTAGCCAATTTCATGTATTTCATCTGGGGCTGAAAAAATGAATTATATTAATTGATTATTTCAATAATGGTCAACTAATTTAGTACGTGATTCATCATTAACTGGAGTATAGAGACTTTAAAACATATAGTAATATAAATGTAAAATGTGCCTTTCCCCGACAGAGCAACCCACTTAGATCAGTTATTTTATCAAAATTGTAAAAATAAAAACAAAAAAATGAAAACAGTAACAGCAACTAAATATCGGTAAAAAGGAAACCCTCACATTTTCTTTTTTAGTTGGCTGTGGCTAAGAATCAGAAATATTGATGGCTCACAGCCTTTATTTGCCCATTTTTCCAGCAGTCTTCAGAACTCCTGGCTGACTCAGAATATTTCGTTTTATAAAAGAAAAAAAAAAAAGGTTTTTGTTTTTTAGTGTACATGATATTCATTTTTTTTTTTATTGGGACTAGTTTTGTAGCCTAATATTAATTGTAGTAACCGCTGCATTCTAGTGTGAATAAATTTTCAATGTTTTGCTCTAAGCACACGCAGACTAGAAAACAGCCAATCAGAGAGAGAGAAGGCGGAACCTAAGGCAGAACAACCAATGAGAGTGGAGTTAAACAGCGCAGCACAGTTCCATGCGCTGCTACATGAAAGGGACAGGAGAGACCAGGCAGAGGAGCTGCGAGAGAAAAAGAAGCCACTGCTACAACAACTACTGCTGTAAATTATAAACATGTTGCTCACATTCAATTATTGGTCGGGACAATTAGGTCGGTTCAAAATTTAGGTAGGGACATGTCCCTATGGTCCCTATGCAAACCTACGCCCATGTTTCAATCTGGAAAGAATAATTCGGGACGAGTCAAAACAACCAATCACAGCCAGAGGAGCGTCTGATGGAGTGTCAATCACAGCTCACACACGCTGAATACCGCCCCCCCCCCCCCCCCCCTTCTGGTTGCATGCGGTAGCCGCGCAGATGCTGTGAGAGGGGGGGAGCTTGGAGGTGGGGCATGAGTGAAGCAGAGAGGGTGGGGGAGTGGAGTCAAACCTGTTTTTCTTCAAATTTTCAGTCGAAGTCTGCTCTCTCCTCAATGTTACAGACTGCAGCTTTAAGTGGCGGTAATAACCCAGAATGCATAAAATTCCACAGGTAAAAATTTTACCAGCAGGTGGAGCCATTGCGCGCAGCTCAAAGGTAATGCCAAAAGTTCAAAGCCCCACAGCTCTGGAACTGTTATAGCTAGAGGTCTGAAATTGCCTGCATTTGTGGTTGACATGATGTAGAACAAATATAATGCAATAGAATCTGCTTTATCTTAAGAATGGCTTTGTTACTGCTGTTTAAAAAAAGACCTATCATTTCCGACAATAAAAAAACAACAAATTTGAGTCATGTTTGAACTGATGCAGGTTGGTCTGTGTTCTACTGTGTTCAGAAACTAGAGGTTGTTAGCTTTCAAATAAAGTGTTGCGCATGTAATTTGGGCTTACAGTCCCTAAGTTATTTGCTTTTCCATTTGGGTATGCAAAATAAGCGAGGATGACCCAAAATGAGGTGGATGTTAAAAGGTTAAGAGGAATTTTTCACACCATCACATCTGCAAAGAGAAGTCCTAGTCCACAATTGTGTAGGGGGCCTACCAGGTGTCAGTGACTGGGCCCTTAAGCAACTGCAGTCTCATTGGCCGCTCACTAGAACCGCCCATGCCAACTTTTAACAGGCAGTCGGATAAAATAAATAAATGAATCAACACATAAGCCAGCGCATTAGGAGAGTATTTCAGGAATGTTTCAGGCACTAAAATAACATCCAGCTGCTCCAAAAGGTAACAGGATCGCATTTGATCCCGCAGCTCTTCCAGCGGTTAATAAATCTCCATAAACGCTTCCGTGGCGCATCCTCCCACCCCACCCTGAGACCCCTCCCTCCCTTCCTTCCTCCCTCTCTCTCTTCCTCACCTCCTTCCTTCAGAGGGGCGGACGGTGGGATGAGGAGAGAAGTTTGCCTTCGGCGCGTTTCGCTCAACATTAAACCGTATTTCATTTTAGGGGGGGGACAGCAACAAGAGGAGCCTTCGAGGGATTGCTGAGAGGAGTATCCGACAGCGGAGACACCGACACAGCTGACCCCCTTTATTTACTCCTTTGATTTCATTTAAAGATTAACCATTAATGTCGCCGAACTAAAGGGAAGAGACTCGGGTCCAAGTCGGAGGGCTTTTAATTTAATTTGTGGAGGAATAATAAGAAAAAAAGGACAAAACGAAAGAAAAAGAGGAGCAGCTTTCGAGTGAAGGAAAAAAAAAGTAGATACTGACTCATAATGAATAACAACAAAATAGAGAAGGAAAACGAGCAGAGTGAGTTCAGCAACCATGAAGAGGAGGTATGTATTTGCAGATCAATCTACCTGGACGCTCAGGTGTTGCTGATTTTAACGGGTTCAAGCACGCGCTCCACTTTTAAAAGCTTTTAATCTGAAATCCTGCGCTGCTTTACTTCTTTTGTTGAAGTTTTATCACACCTCCTGCATGCTTCACTGTCAAAGCTGTATTAAAAACAAGGATTTGACGTGACCATATATATATTTTTTTGTCTTGTTGTGACTTATTTTTTTTTCCATTATCAGACTCCTTTGAGCAAAATGCTTTTTTTTTATTTACTTTAAAATTTTGAAATATATTGTCTCCACACCTGAACCTTCCCAAAATACAATTTTCGTCCGTAATCATTAAAACTTAAAATTTTTGTTTTCAATATATATTTTCCTCTTATGTTATTTTGTTTATTACAGGGGCGGAGCTAAATGGGGGCCATGGCCACCCTTAGCCAATCATTGGCCCCCATCTGTGGGCACCCCTACCATTTTTTCCCCTCTAATACAGATGGTGGCAACAGCAATACTCTAAAGTGGGATATTCAAAACATAAATTTTTTGTTTGTGGTTAATTATACACATCAATATACTAACATCAAAGATGATAAATACAGAATTCATGATCTTTTCAACTAGATTTTGTGTTTTATGGGTTAAAGAGAAAAAAGTCTTCAGTGAAAAAGATAAATACCAATTTTAATAAAAACCTATCAAATAATCAATTTATGTAGATATTACTGCTTGTAAATATCAATTATATGCAGAATGTTTATTGATACAGGTAGGTAAGTGATTAAAATGATGATTGATTTACACCCCAGGACTCAAAACTGAGTTTTATCCACTATACCTTTTATCTAGAAATTACGGAGGTTTAAATATATGCGTCTATTTCTTAGCAAAGGCTGTAGGGATGTAAAGTTAGTCTTTATTTAGAATATATGGATGTGTTGCTTGTTAATTTTTTCTGTTGGAGCAGTCTTATTTTATTATATATACATTAGTATTTCATTTTCTACTAAAATTAACTTGGCCTGTAGTTTCTGTGATGTTGCTGCCCATGTATGGTAGGGAAAAATGTAGCAGCAAGCGTTACCTTCATCCTAACTCTTAGATATTCTCATACGTCTGTGTTTGTTTGGATGTGAAGTTGGACAGCTCCTCCTGAATAGTCTGTCTACAGTTTCTTTCTTCATCACCAAATCCCTCACATTTTTGTTACTTTTATTTTCCTACCCTAATGGAAAAACTGTGACCTTGTCTGCATAAATATTTGCAATGATAAGAATTTCAGAGAAAAAGAAAAAAAAAAGGCTGAAAGTTTAGAGTGTTAATGTAACGTAACTCTAAACTGAACTATAAAAAGAGATTCTGAGCCAAAGTGAAACAGTTTTCACTGAAGCGCAGAGGAGTGGTTGAAGTTCAAACAACTGCTGCTGCAACATGTAGGCAATAACTCTTTGTTGCATTACAGCTAACCTTCTCCATCCGAACATAGCAGACCCATTTGTTAGAGAAAAAAAGTGATAATATAGTCCCTTTAATAGATAAGATAATGGTGTAGATTCTGTAAACACAGCACTATCTGGCTTAAAATGACCTCTGATGAGGTCTGGTGTGTGTGTCTCTGCTTTGACAAAGATATGTTTTAATTCAAAGGACAGAGACTTGTTATTTTAGAGCTCGGCCCATCCGCAGAGGAGGGATACAAGAAAAGGTGTAACAGACTATGTCAGATATTTCTCTTGGAGTAAATCGGATTAAGACCCATCACTTTGTAACTAAATAGCCAAACATGCCTGGACTAATGTGATGCCATATATGGTCCGGAGCTAGGAGGGGGGGTTACTATGGATGCAGGGAGTTTATATTGCTTTGCTTCGGTGAGGTACAGGATAAGACTGAGTTCTTTGAAGCTGAAAAGTCAGTTTTGAACCATCCCTGACCTCCAGAGGTGGATTATTTGACAGGCTGTCCATGGTTCTGTCTGTCTAAGTTCAAGTTATAAAAATAATCTAATAGTAAGGGATAATTTACTACTGATGTCATGTCACAGCATTTTAGCAAACACACAGGTTCATTTACCTTTAGTAAGATTCAATCCAAGCGGATCCAGTTCAGTTTTTATGAATTCAAATAAATGTCTAAATAGTCAATTAACTATTTTGACATCTGCTAACAAGTTTGTCTTGTATTAATCTGTACCGGTCTTTTTTATAATCATATTTCTTTTTCAGTTTCATATGCATGATAGTTGTGTACATTAGATTGTTTTATGACACTGAAAGAAATGTATTGTCTTAGATTTTTCAATCTGCGCCTCTCGCCTGATGCAGATCAGTTTGTTCCAGGCTTTATTACAGGGCTGCTTTAGGTTTATCCACATTGTCTCTGTAAAATGTAACATTTCTCACCAATCAATAAGATCCAGTCATGATAGATAGAAAATATCCCAAAGTCAGTTCAAGGATTTTATCAAATGATCCGGCTTAAGGTTTTATAATGTAAATATAATATGCAGCGATCAGGCTTTTGCTCTCCAGTACTGAAATCTAATTTTTTCTACTACCGGACATAACAATACTTTAACATATATAAGAGAAAAACATTCTGGAGGTTTCTTATTAGAGGTATTAGAGATTAACAGAAACTGAAACCCTCTAATTATCAACCCCTATTTCTCTAACCCTCATCTATCTGATTTATAGTCATCTAACTAAAGTGCATAAAAGCCCTTGTTTAATGCATGTGTAGACTGAAGATGGACGTTTGTAGTTTTAAATTGGGAGGTTTCTATCTTTGGCAGATCACTTAGGAGTATCAAAAGTGAGTTTACACATACAAATGATGAAAAACAGGATGTCTTTTGTCTAGTCTTTAGAGATTAAAATTGAAAATAGGGCAATAAAAATACACTACATCTAAATAAAATCAGAACTTTGCACATTTTGGCTCCAAAAAGAACCTCTGAAATGAGGTAACTGCTTTACATCAACATCAACGTATTTGAAAAATAATATAAGCTCTTATTGTACGCATTTTAGCATTATATAGCTTTGGTTTATAGCTCATGGTCGTCTGCTCTGGTAAAGGAATTTACTTGCTTTTGACCGCATACTATCAGATATCACGACCTTGACCCCTGGTAAATTGCCTCCCGATATAAAGAACCTTCAATTGAATATCAATGAATAATAATTATATGGTTTAGTGGAGTTTCTAATTGAAAAATGCATTTGTTTGCAGCCTTGTCTCATTGGACTGATAAATATCTTGACCCGCTCCAGACATGTTTGAAATTCTGTACTGTCCACGGGTTGAGCCATCAGACGAGAGATGTCTTGTGTAAAAGGCAGACACAGAGACAGGGAGAGTAATGGCCTGAGGAATTTAATGTTGTAGAAATGTTTGGATCTCGTCCAGACTGGCGGAGACTTACATTTACTCGGATGAATTAACATAAGGTTAGACAGCACCACTTTGTCTTTGTTCCGATGATTTGTGTTTTGTTCAAGCTGTAAGATGGGAGCAAAGAGGTTTAGGCTGTTGTTTTCCACCTGTGCACACGTTTACAGACAGGTTTAGATGTATGCAAAGTTCAGAAAAGAGTAGAAAGACTTGACTTCTTTCTGCACCATTTCTTAGATTTGCCTTTCCTTGAAACGTACCCGCTCACATATAAACTGTAACCTTACGAGAGGCAAAGTTCAACAGCCTGGCTGGTGTGACTCTCACATGCTAAACAACATGATGGCCTCCCTCTCCACTCTTGCACAGTCTGAATGGATCACTGATTCTCACCAGTAAAGCACTGTTGCAAGCTCTGCTGTGGTACTCAGCCTAGATGCTAAGTGTTTATCTTGCGTGCACCGCCGCTCCCCAAACATGGTCTGTCTGCTGGGGAGGTATGCAGGGGGATGTGGGGATATTTCGGCCCCTTGCAGCATCTAATCTGGAGAGCTGCTGCGATAAGCGTGGCTATCAGGTGTTCTGGATGCTTTCACGTTTTGCGGCACTCAGCTGATGATGAAGTCGAGGTGACAGGCTGGTAACTGTCAGAGATACGCTCCTGCTGTGGCCCGTTTCCAGACCTTTTTTGGAAAAGACTTCTGGTTCGGACCCTAGAGGGGACTTATACTGATCTGATAGGAGGAGAGGTTGATAGAGAAATATGGTCGACTTGTTTGCTAATTTTAAAGGGGAAGAATGTTTATGAACAGACTTTAAAACACTCTAATGACCTCAGAAAATGGCATGCAGAGTGAAATCCAGATATTTATGGGTAATCCTGCAACTATCAAAGATTTTATGTCTCAAACAGAGAAAAAATATTTTTTTTTTTATTCATTATGCCCTTAGTAGTCACAAAGACAAACTTACAAAAAAATATAATACATAAATTAGCATGCATATAATACAAAGTATGGTTTTATATTGAATGTTTTGGCTCTATGCACTTTATCCCTTGGCCCGGCTTGAGACTCTCAGTCCCTCATAAGGCTAAAAATTAAATGTGATTCAACAGCAACTTTATTGATAATGGCACAAAAATTCCTTATTTTAATAAAAAATATCATGTTTTTTATTTTTTTTCATAAAAGGAACACCTTTCCATAGAGATCACTGTAATTTCCAACACAAAATGTAACTTTTAGCTATGTTTTAACCTTTGTTTATTTGCAACTACAACTACAGCAGTGTTAGCTCAATGAAAGGAAGGGAAACTAGAGGAAAAGTCGATGCAAAGTTTCGCAAAAGCAAGAGTAGATTTATTGGTCGTCATTTCCAAACACCTCATATTTCATGTGAATGTACAAATAATGTCAAAAATACACATTTTTATTGTCTAGTTTGAATATATTTTATGCTTACTCTAAAACAGAGATTAGAACACTAATTTGTCACATGATTTTAAAGAAATGCTAAACATTGTGATTTTCACAACCGTCATTTCCATCACTAAATATTATATTAATATATAATGTATGTAGTGTAATATTAAGGTATTT